ATCTATAATCTCACAGTTATATCAAATAGACCAACAGTTTATGTTTAAAGCTATAATCTATAATCTGTTAAATTATAATCTATAATTACTTGGTACCAAGTATTTTAGTTTAAAAAAATTATTATAATTTTATCTTTTTTTTTTTAAGGAAAAATTAGTCTAAGGTCTCTCTTATATTTTTAGTATTATAAGAGATCCATAATATTATTTTATGATATCTAATGTCTTTTAACTCGACATCCATATATGACAGAGAAATTTGACTATCTCAAATCAAATTTCCTAGAACCTCTTCGCTTCCTCCGAGTTCTCCACCTTCTCCCCATAGTACTTATTCCTTGCAATCATCCTCGTCATGACATTTAAGGCGGGCTCTTAAAACTAGAAGCGAAATATGATCGCAACTCAAAATCTGGTACAACTTCGAAACAAAAGTGCTAGGGCTTAACTTCGAGTCAGATCACGATCCAGTTCCAGGGAAGATCAACTCGCATGTGGGCTACGACTTTGAATCTAGGTTGAATCATAATAGAACATCAGCGAAAGCATAGGTTCAAATCTTGAGTGGCTAGGGTGCATCGCGAATGCGAACTCAGATCGCAATTGGTTTGCAATTTGATGAGCTTGATTGTGAACTCATATGACAACTGGCTAGGCTTCAGTGAACTTGATGTTGGCAGGCCAGAGTCATTGTGAACTGGAATCTCATTCCCATGAACTCGATTATGAGACGTGATTCAAGATTGTGAAAACACATCCAAGGTTAGGGTGTCTTGGATCAATGTACGATCACCAAGGACTGTTCATAAAAATACAACTCCGTTGTAAATGGAGAGAATTTCTTTGGTTTCTCTAGATTGAAGAGAGTGACTTCTATGGATTGTTACTTGGAGATGATGAATATAGATGATACTTCCGTGGATTGTTATCCAGAGATGATAAATATATATGTAGAATACAGTGGTAGATTAAACTTGGATTTACTTAAAGCTAGATGGTTGTTGTTGTTGTTGAACGTAGATAAAACGGTAAACAAATCTGTTAATGTAAATTGTAAATGTAAATTGTAAACCACCTACTACCACCTACTCCACCTACCACCTCCACTTCACCTACTCCACCTACCATGTAAGTGTGTTAGGTGAGAGTTGAGTGTGGTAGGTGAATATGTTTTTCTCTTCTATATATAGGAGTCATTGTATACAAACATATATCAATCAATAATACAAAAAATCTTACATGATATCAGAGCTATAGGTTAAAGATCTTGGTGTTCTTCGCCTTCCGGCGGGCGGCAACCTTGCCTTGACCGCCCGCCGGATCTCAACCAATTCAAACCTCCCTCTCCCTCTCGGCACCTCACTGAAACACACTACCATGATCATCACTCAACCAATTCACAGACCCACCCATCAGCGTCACCCGAGTCGGCAACAGTAGCTTCGGAAGCTACCCTTCTTCCATCATCATCGCCCAGTGACGGTGGCAGGTCCAATTCCTCCAACCACCCTCCATTTCTTGCAATCCGCTAGCCTCGGGTACCCGCCGTCACTGCTGCAGTCACATTTCTTCATACACTTGGCAGCGATGTTCTGAGCACCCTGGAATTGTTGACCCTCGAAGGTCAACATTGAGCCATCCTGGTACAAGTTTGCGAGCCCTCCTCGATTCGTATCGAACGTCGAATAGTAGTGCTCCACAAATGCTTTCGCTACTGCGTTCGGATCCCGTGATGTCCCGCCCCACAAGCACCTTGCCATGCACCTCAACATCAACACACAGGGTGGACAACCGTTCTTCCACCGATCAACGATAGTAGCACCATATACACAGCAGCTATGGTGGTGGTGGCCAACCTCCTTTTCTTCTTCATTTTTCATTGCTACAGGGTCTTTCACAGTTGTTGCCCTCGATCCGTGGTGTTATACAGCCACAACGCCACAATTTCTCTCTCTCTCGTGGTGCCGCAGGACAACCCACCACGGAGAGGCACAATATTTGGGTGCTGCCCCACTCTCCCTATAATTTCCATCTGCTGTTCAAAGCCCTTCTTCCCCACCACTGTTGTAGACTCCTCCACGACAGCCTTATACACAACCCACCCACCCACCATCACAACACACCAAGCTACACACACATGCACGACATCCCTCTCTCTTCATCATGTAACCCACTCTCTCTCTCTCTCTCTCATCTTTCCACTTTCAAGCCCACGGTTTTGATCAAACCCAGCATATAGTTTCCAAGACACCCGTGTGGGCTTGTCCCCTCTCTCCTCCGTTTGATTCCCACTTTATTTTTCATTTTTTTTTCCATTATTATTATTATTATTTTTTTTTTTTGGCACAAAAAAAAAAAAAAAAAAGACAACAGACAAGAGAAGACTGAGACACACACCATTCACATCGCAGACACACCATTCACACACACACAGTTTACCGAGAGAGAGCCCACTCAACTTTCTTTTTCTTTTTTTTTTCTTATTTTACTCCATCTTTTGACAAGCAAACGACACACCAATTGATTTGCACATGTATCTACTCTCTCTCTACTCAAGGACACCCACCACTATGTCTTCTTTCCAACCCATCATCCACCTTTATTCTGCAACATCCATCTTCCCCACATCATTTCCTTTTGTTGGGCGTCACCCCAACTTTATTTTGACACATAGTTTTTCCATTAAAAAAAAAAATAATAATTTACAAATTTGCACAACAAACCATATTTTATTCATCTCAGGGATCAACCCCGATCACAATTACACAAAACAAAACAAAAAAAAAAAAAAAAAAACAAAACAAACAAACAAACAACAAAGACCACACACAACAACCTCATCCACAGGCGGGATTTTTCTTCTCTACTCTGCCGCCGGTCTTTTCTTCTTGCCTCCGTCCTGGGCGGCCCTTGCCGGTGTTGCCTCCGTGTTTCCCACTCCACTGGGCATGATCACTACTCCCTGCTCCTCCACTACAGCATATGGCGGCCCTCCAAATCGGAACATAACGGTGGCCTTCCGCTTCAGCTCCTTATTTTCCGCCTTTAGCACACTTATCTCTGCTCGCGCATCCTTATACATGCGCTGGAGCAGAGCCAGTTGGGCGTTTAACTGCTGCACCTCATTTGTCCTACTCTGCAGCCGGTGTGACAGGTTTGTGACTGCCGTCATGGTCTCCACACATGACTTCAAAGTATACTGATTGGCCTCAATATCCGTTTGCACCGCCATTTTTTGCTCTACCGACCGCATCGGAAAGTTCAACGGAGCAAAACCAGAGGCGCTTGGTTGAGGTTCACTGGCCACCGCACCAGTTATCTCTCTTGTTGACTCGTTGAGGTCGGGAAAGAGAGTGAGCAGACCACGGGACGAGGAGGCCATATTCTGGGTAGCTGAACGGGAAGACGAGGCCATGTTATGGGTTGCTGAGTGTTTCAGAGAAGGGTTGGTTACAGAGTGTTTACAGAGTGTTTCAAGATTTGCAGCTCTTAGCGACAAGCTCTCAGAGAACGAAGAGGTTTCAACTGGTTTGTTATGCTTCCAAGCCTCAGCCTCCGCTTCGGTTTATAAAGACCATGATGAAGAGGCAGACACGCGCATCATGCGCCTCTCGGTGCTCGCCGACAACTTGGGCGCGTCTTTTGATGGCACGCCTTTTTATGGATTGGGCACACCTTTTGAAAGATTGGGCACACCTTTTGAGGGCACGACTTTTGAGGACTCGATATCTATATCCATGTATATCTTTTGGGCAGCCTATTTACACACTCATACAGTGTCTTCTACCCCGGTCAGCTTTATCAATCCCTTTGTTTCAACCTCAAATAGGTTTCTATCTTCACACCTATTTGAGTTTGAGGGGGGGTTCTACACAGTATCATGTATAAGTTGCTCATGGTGCACTCCCTAAGTCGCCCCCTTGGTGCACCACCACAACCTGCTATAACGGTCCGACATGACCCCGTAAACTGTCTTCTACACCGGTCCGACATGACCCCATAAACTGTCTTCTACATCGGTCTGACACGACCACACAGTGTCTGCTACAACGGTCCGACATGACCCCGTAAACTGTCCCGACATTTATTCCGGTTAGCTTCTACAACAACGGTCTGACACGACCACACAGTGTCTGCTACCACGGTCTGACATGACCCCGTAAACTGTCTGCTACAACGGTCCGACACGACCATACCGTGTCTTCTACAACGGTCTGACACGACCATACAGTGTCTCCTATCCCATTTTTAATTTTATTTGTCAGCTTATTTTTCTGCTTTGTTACTCTCTCAAAACTCAAGTTGGCTAGTACCTATCATCCTTGAGTTTGAGGGGGGACTGCTAATGTAAATTGTAAATGTAAATTGTAAACCACCTACTACCACCTATTCCACCTACCACCTCCACTTCACCTACTCCACCTACCACCTCCACTACACCACTCCACCTTCACTTTACATCTCCTATAAAATGTACATACAATACACAATCAAAAATCAATCAATAATACAATTCTCTATTTTTCTATACATCAATTTTAACAATCAGAGAAAATTATAAATAAATCAGAGAGAATTTATCTAGCTGGATTGAAACTAGAGAAATTATTTGGATGGAAGATAGTGACTTCTATGGATTGTTACCTAGAGATGATAAATATAGATGATACTCTCATGGATTGTTACTTGAAGATGATGAATATATATGTATGGTAGAGTGATAGATTGGACTTGAATTTACTTAAAATTAGATAATTGTTATAGAACAATTCAAAGAAAATCATAACTAAATTAGTGAGAATTTATTTGGATTGAAATCAGAGAAATTTTTTAAATTAAATTTTCTCTACATCGATTTGAGGGATATCAAACATTATAAAAATATTAAATCTCATTTATATTATAAAATCATAATATCAGAATTTATTTTTTATTTTTATTTTTATTTTTAACACATTATTTTATGAAAAAGTTTTTTGTTTTTTTTTAAAAAAAAGATGTAAAATAATCTGTCACAGCTATCGACGCACCATTCCCCCCGCTTTCGAAAGCGCCGAAGAAGCGAAATAAACTCTCCAATCGGTGCCTCAATTCCCAGCAAAGCAATGTCTGGCGGCGGCGGAGGCAGAACGATAAGGGTACTGAACGTGGCGGAGAAGCCGTCGGTGGCGAAGGCGGTGGCGGGGATACTGTCGAAGAGTAGCCAAGGTGGGATGAGAGTGAGGGACGGTAGGTCTAGGTTCAACAGGATCTTCGAGTTCGCCTACACCATTCACGGCCAACAATGTCACATGCTTTTCACCTCCGTCACCGGCCATCTCATGGAACTCGACTTCGAAGATCGCTATCGTAAATGGCACTCCTGCGATCCCCTCCTCCTCTACCAAGCTCCTGTCCGCAAATTCGTTCCCGAGGTTTCTCTCTCTCTCTCTCTCTCTATATATATATATATATAAGAGCATCTCCAATACTTTCTTTTTTTTTTTTTGCCCCCATAAAATTCGAGTGAAAATTTTGGTTAAAAGCTTGATCTGGTGTGGAACATTCCAATTCTTACTTTGTTTTTTGTCTTTTTTATCAAATGTTTTTGAAAACTAAAAACCTCCTTATTTATTTATTTTTTATCTATAATTCTTACTCTTTGAAAATTACGAACTTAGGACTGTTGTAACCATTTTTTATGAAATAAAATCATCTCCAATAATACTCTTTCTAGAATTTCATAAAATTTGATTAAAAATATGACTGTAATCTTCGTGAAAATTCCAAATTATACTAAAAACCCGTTTTAAAGGGAAATCGTCTATTTTTTTCGCTTTTAAAAATTTCATCAAATTTGAGTAAAAATATGACTGTTGGAACTTTGGCGAAGGATTTGGTTCAACCTTGATTTGGCGAAATTTTGCCTCTCCCTTGATTGGATGCGAGTTTGTTGAAATGATTGGAGCTCATTTTTAGCTGTTTATGCGTTAAAATAGAATTGGCGAAGGATTGGAGATGATTTTCTTTTATCAAAAATGGTTAAAACAGGTTTTTAAGTATAAATTTGGACTTTTTAAAAAATATTTGATGGAAAAAGAGAAAGTAAGGATTGGAGTGTTCAATACCAGATAAAGCTTTTAACCACATTTTCACTAAAATTTGACGAAAAAAGAGAGTAAAATTGGTGATGATATAATGTAAGCAATTCTCTTAAAACAGCTCTTAATTGCTTAGGATAAGTTGGATATAAAGAGGACATTAGAGGAGGAAGCTAGGAAGTGCCAGTGGCTTGTGTTGTGGTTGGATTGTGATAGAGAAGGAGAAAACATTGCATTTGAAGTTGTCGAAGTCTGCACAGAAGCAAATCGTCATCTTAATGTGTGGAGGGCTCGTTTCTCTGCCTTAATTGAAAGGTTTCGAAGACTAATCCTTTTTTCTCTTTCAGCTCCGATTATCTGTTTTTGAGTTCAAATTTCATAATGTTTACCTTTTGGGGATGCTCAGGGATATCCGCGAGTCGGTGCAGGCTCTTGTTCGACCTAATCAATTGTTTGCTGATGCTGTTGATGTTAGGCAAGTGAGTACCTGCCAATCACTCAGTTGGGACTTTGTCAATCTTGTTATAGTACTTTGGTGACTTTCTTCTTGGCTTGTATTTGCACAATCCTTATTTTAGACAGAAACTGCTTCTAGTTTGCTCACTGATTAGCTGTTGTTAACACGAGTTGGCTGTATGTAAATTTGTATATTTCCTTTCATTTAATTTGAGTCTTTTGCAGGAAATAGATCTCCGGATTGGTGCTTCCTTCACTAGGTTTCAGACTATGCTGTTGAGAGATGCGTTCAATCTTGATTTTGCTACAGATGACAGAAATGTTATTCTAAGTTATGGACCTTGTCAGGTATCTCAACAATTCTAAACATTAATTTTGCACGTTAAGTACAGCCAATCAATAAGTATGTGTAAGGCCTTTAATCTTTAACTTTGTAATTTAGAGCTGGAAGTGCTATGATGTTGTCTTGATCATTCTAATTTTTTATTGACCGCTGCAGTAAGCCTACACTAGGCTTTATTGTGGAACGGTATTGGGAGATACAAGCACACGAGTCTGAAGAATTCTGGACAATCAATTGCACTCACAATTCAGATGAAGGCACTGCTACATTCAATTGGATGTAAATTGCTAAGGATTTTGCACCATTCAATGTCAACTTTTTGTATCTGGTTATTGGTGCTTTAAACTTACTGACTATGTGGTTTTGCAGGCGTGGGCATATGTTTGATTATACTTGTGCTGTAATAATATACGAAATGTGTGTTCAGGAACCCACTGCAACTGTGAGTGGATATAGAGTCATGTTTTATGACTGATACTGGTTTCTGATCTCTTTATGAGTATAATCATGAATGTTATTAGGATTTCAATTTAAGGCCATTGTACTAATTTTAGAAAAGTGAGACTAGTCCAGCAAACTGCACCTAAGCTTGTTAATAAACCTAACTATAAAGATATGCTTGGCCTCAGAAAGAAAATTAGGTTGGTACTCAGACCTTTAAGACTTGCAAACTTATATATTAAACAGCCGATCAAAGACTTCTACAGTAAACTGAATATCATATCTACCTGGTCCATGATTTTGGTTCCTCCGGAATGTAAAACCATGATTTTGTTTTTGAAAAAATATATGGGTTGGGGAAATTACAAAAATAAACCTTAAATAGGTTTCGTTAAAATATATGCAATATTTGGTTATAATTAAGAGGAGTTCAATAGTAAAACCTTCGCTTAATAACCTTGAGGTTATGGGTTCAAGTCTCGGGACAATCACTTTGTGTACTATGCCAAAAGTTAAGTGTGTACCCAATTTTTCCCGTCCCAAGCACACATTAATGTGTACTAATTGGGCGTTGTTTTTTTATTTTTTATATTTTTTATTTGGTTATAAATTATAATTAAGAGGAAAGAAAACAAATAATGATTGCAAAGGTGAATGATAAATAAGTTTACTATCATATTTGCTTAACTTGGGTGTCAATTGCCAATTAATTGAATTATTTGAGCATTATATTAACACCAACTTCATTTCTGCATCTCATCTTCATAGTTTGGTATTCACAGTTATAATTTCTGTTCAGGTTACAAAAGTTAGACAGCAGGAGAAACTGAAGTATCCTCCTCATCCTTTAAATACTATTGAGCTTGAGAAACGTGCATCCCGCTACTTCCGGATGAGTTCCGAACAAACCATGAAGGTCAGTTGTAGGAGCTCAGCAATGATGCTTCATCAGATTTCTGACTGTTTCTTAATATTATCTTCACTTATTAAACTGATTCCTTGAATTCTAATCCATTACATGTATATTTCAAGAAGGCCAAAATCATTTTATTTATTTTTGGATGTTTTTAAGCTTGGACATTGTCATTCAAAGTAATGAAGTTTGCCTGTTGATGTTTCTATATTTTTAAACAAAAAGCATTAGGTTTAGGGCACAAGTTTTTGGCTCTTGAATTCATCCTTCAAATGCTTTTGAAGTACTATCCATGGAAATTTGTTTATTTTCTCTTCTCCTTTGATTCTATCTTCTCATTATCATTTTTTTTTCCCCAAAATGTTGGTTGTTGCTTTATATCCTTTTTCTTTTTGGTTTTTGAAACTACATATTTTTGGATGTTGACAATCAAAATCCTTAATTTTTTCTTCTTGCACTCACCTGTTTTGCTTGTTGTCTGTAAATCCGTTTTATTCAAGGTTTAGCATTCAATATATTTCTAATGTCGCAATATTTTTTGTTGTTGTACGTCAATCAGTTGTCATGGCTGGCTCTCTTTAGTTATCATTTGGCACTATTTCTCTATATTCTTGTGATATCAGATTGACAGTAGGCATGCGCGTGTGGATTGCAGTGGGTGTGGATATCAAAATATTTTAGGGCTTTTATATGTCATGATTATGTGTTTGCTTTTCCTTGCTGATTTGTTCCTTTTTGTTGCTCGTGTAAATTCATTGGATCTATCCTTATTTTTTCATTCTGGATGCCACTTCACCACCCTCGAAAGTATCACCACACCAAGGTCTCTATAAATTATTCACTTTGTCATGTATTGTGACCGTTATTGCCTTATTGGAATTCCTTTGCGTTCAGATGGTTTTAGGGGTGGATATCTCATTAAATTTGTCGTACCATTTCAAGATGTTGGCTAAACTAATCCTCTTAGAATTTTGTTTTTGTTTTTGTTTTTTTCCTTCTAGAAACTGGTATTTTTAATATTATTAACTACATAAATTATTTATTCTTTTATTGATTTGGTAGGTGGCAGAAGACCTTTACCAAACTGGTTTCATTAGTTATCCTCGTACAGAGACTGACAGCTTTTCAGAGAGGACTGATTTGCGTGTGAGTAACTTCATTTGTTCATTGACAACTATGACTAACTTCCTGGCTGTTTAGAATTATTAATGCTCAACGTGGAATTTATGGCAACTTGGGCGGACAGACTGGGCTCCAATTTGCAGATTGCTGAGTTAGCCTAAACCAGTCAAATTCTTAGATTATCATTGTCAACTCCACAGATCGAATGTGAATCGTGTTTTTTGATTGATAGTTGCCTGCTATGTGTATTTGTTATGATGAGTGGCACACAAAGAAGATTACCCTCCAATTAGGGGAAAACATAATGAAACCATATTTCAGAAGATTTGAACCATAGTTTTGTTTTGAAAACAAGTTTTCACTCCCTCAAATCGCTGGACCATTGCTCCATCTTCTAATTATTCTTTTGTATTTTATTATTTATTTTTTATACTATATTAATGTATTCAGATATTGCATGCCTATTATATTTATAGTATATTTAATTAATTTTACATAGACCTGATGCACAAAATTAGAATTAATTCAGTAAGTGTTACATGTACATGTATTTTTATATGCATATGCATGCTTTGGAGGTGCTTCCATGCTCAAGATATTTTCACAAAAGGTTCATTCGCTTCCATTTTCTCACTCCATGAATCAGATACTAACTGTGAAATTATTTACATTTAGCAGTTTGAGTGAATTTAATGTATTGTTATCATTCAAGAAAAAAAATCAATTATTAATTGAGGTTGCGCGTATCTAGTCTTTTTTGTTATCTATTTTTCAGAAGGAAGAATGAAGAGGTGACAAAGCATTGGATTAGAGTGAGACATGAGGGTGAGAAGAATGAAAGAAAACAAAAGGGTAAAATAAATAAAAAAAACATAAGAGAGCAGTTCCATGCATAGGGGCATTGTTTGGTGCAATGGTAGAAGCGAGAGCTTCTAAGCATGAGAACATGGGTGAGTTTGAGAGCAGCCACTTTGTGCAAATAATACCAAAGATCAGGTTTGCTCCTGTCTTTCCCCTCCTAACGTCCTGTGTTAATAGGAGCAATCCTGCATAATGTTCTTTTAAAGGATCCATGCATAGTTTGGCTTGATTCAAACTATAGCACAAATTGTGGGTTCCTGATAAAATTAAAAAGTCATGCTGACCTGGTTAAGTTTAGATTTCATGGCCTCTGGAATTCTCACCTTATGCATGTAATGTTAGGCTTGAGTGAGTAGTAAGGAAGCTGATTTCTCTACTTCCTAGAATACTTTGTGATTTGTAACCTGATATTTTTTTGTTCTGTCTTGTGGCATTTCTCGTTTTCATCTTTCTTCAAATGACACTTGTCACTTGGATTCTCTTTCTTGTCATCAGCAATGGACAGAGAAAACGATTGGATGCACTTCTTTCCTTTCTCAAAGAATTATTTTTTTAGTTGGTAGATGCTATAGGTGAAACACTGTTATGGATGGCGTAGTATACTAAAACTAAAAGCAAGAGTCATTCTGTCTGCAGTTAATTATTTGGTGGGCTAAAATTTTGGACAGCCTGTGGGTTTTATGGTTAAAAAGGTGGAAGAAAATCTAGACTTTGAGGGATATATGGATTTTAAGTTTATGAGTTGCTAATATACCCTTTAAGTTATTTCATGTTGGATAATACCTCTTGTATGATTGCATTAGCTGCTTTTGCTGTGTTAAGGACTTCTGTTCTCTTGATTTATTGTAGGCAATTGTGCAAGAACAGGAGGGGCATCCTGTATGGGGTTCATATGCTCAGCGCTTATTGGACCCTGGAGAAGGACTTTGGAGGAACCCTGGTAATGGTGGCCATGATGACAAAGCCCATCCTCCAATCCACCCGACAAAGTTTTCTGGTGGACAATCTGGATGGAGTCAGGATCACCATGTAAGTACAGTTATTTTGGAACTTAGTGATATTGGAATTAGTCACACAGATAACCATATGAAAATTGATTCTCTATAACAGAGATTGTATGAGCTGGTTGTTCGCCATTTCCTGGCCTGTGTTTCCAAACCAGCTGTAGGAGCTGAAACTACAGTTGAAATTGACATTGCCGGTGAAATGTTTTCTGCATCTGGGAGAGTAATACTTGAAGTAAGTTTTCTACCATGTTTCTCCATTTTTCCTTAGCCATTTGAAGTAACATAAAACTTGTTATTGGAATCTGAATAATTGGGAGTATGCTTATTTCTCAATATTATGATTACCATAGCATTGAATTCCAGTCCATTGTAAAAAGAAGCATCTTGAGAGTACAATTTTGTCATGAAAATGTTTGAGGAAATATTTTTGTATGAATCAATCACTAAGGCCTCGTTTAGTAGCATTTTCAGTTGCTTCTTTTCTATTTTCATTTTCAAAATTTTTGGAAATTGAAAACAAAGCACGATCGGTGATTGTTTTTATTTTCAAAATTTTCAAACCTCTGAAAAAAGGGTGTTTTATTTTGTTTTGAAAACAAGTTTTCACTCCCTCAAATCTCACACAATTTCGGATTTTAAAACTCATTTAGCAGATACATGCGTGAGAATGGAAAAGAGAAAAATCTGATATTTCAAAAAATGTCTGATTCCTATATGCTAATAATTTCATGTTCTCATACTCGTAGAAGATATTCTATGGAAGAGTGTTTGGGTTGTGGGGAGTCTGTCCAAAGTTGCTTTCTTTGTGTGGACAGCGGCTTCAGGGCGAATTTTGACTATTGATAATTTGATTCGGCGTTGGCACATTTTAGTTAATTGGTGCTGCATGTGTTGTGGGGATGCAGGGTCAGTGGATCATTTGCTTGTTCATTGTCCGGTAGCTTGTCTTTGGATGCTCATTGTTGCTACTTTTGGTTTGGTGTGGGTTCAGCCGGGTTAGGTGTTGGCGGTGTTGCAAAGTTGGGCTAGGGGGAGGGTTGGGAAGAGGCACCGAAAGGGGTGGATGTTTGCGGGTCATTGCTTGATGTGGTTGATTTGGTTAGAGCGGAATAGGCGCATTTTTCGGGGGGTGTCTCACTCGGTTCCGTGGCTGGAGCGGCAGCTGCTCACTGTGCTGCATAGTTGGGTCACTGTCACGGTTGATCTGGATGTGTTGGCTTTTATAGATTTTGTTGAGGAATTGATTAGTTAGATTTTTGGGTTGTTGATAGGCTTGATTTTTGTATTCTTTGTATCGTCTTAATGCTTTTTTAATAAAGTTTGTTTATTTATCCAAAGAAAAAGAAAAAGAAAAAGAAAAAGAAGATATTCTATGCAGGTTACTGACATTTTTTTCAAATTTGTGTCAATCTAGGATGTCATTTAACATGTTGCCTACATGTTGTGCCCCCAAATTCAGTTTCAAATTTTGTTTAGATGTGGGAAAGTAGATATAATATCTTTATGCTTACTAAATATGTTATTAAATGCTTTTATTGTTATTTTGACATCTCCGTTTCATGTTGGCCAGAAAAATTACTTGGATGTCTACAGGTTTGAATCATGGGGAGGTTCAATGATCCCAACATATACTTTCGGGCAACAGGTTTGCTACAAAATCATCTCTCATTGCCTTGGATTGCATTTCTAGTTAGATGTTACTAATTATTTCTCAACTTACTTGGATATGCTTCATCACTTTTTTGATAACCTATGGGGATTTGGATTGATGATCTCTTATTTGTTTGATGACTTATTTTTGCAACATTTTATTTCTTCCACTGTCCATGCTAAATATCTAATTGATCTGTAAATTATATCTATATACTTAGAGCTTTTAATGCTAATAAAAAAAAGTTTCATTCAGTCGTCAAATATCCTTTTAAATTACTGGAGAGAACACATGATTTCGGCTTTTGAAATGGCTGGAAGTTGAAATGGAGAATAAATTATTTTGGGGTTAGTAGAACAGCAAAGAGATGAGAGAATGGATTTCTTTTTCTCCATTATTCTATTTCTAAATATAGCTGGTGACATTGGCCTGTGTTGCCACATGTGTAATATGAAGTTGTGGCCTGCTCATTCTTTAGTGAGAAGTAATTTGTGTTTTTGCTCAAGTATAAATGAAATCATATGTCAAGTCTCTAGTCAAACATTGATATATTCTTGTCACACAGAATTGGAATGTTAAACATGCTTGTATGTGCTTTTATCGTTAAAATAAGACAAACGACTATATAACTTGATTCCTAAGTAGAAAAGGGTATTTTGATTCACAGTAATGAACAGATCCCATGTTCTTGGATTACTTAAAGACAATTTCAATATGATAGCATACTCAAAATTCTCTCTTCTTCTCTATTATTCTAACAAGAACATTAGCCAAGCTGAATGCTCTATTCCAATAATATTCCTTTTTACAAGTCATGTAACATTAAAGGAAAAAAATAAAAATGAACTAATCAAATCTAATTTAAGTAGAATTCCATCTAATTTGTTCCGTAAGCTTTTAATATTTAATGAAAAACCATCATGTCAGTATTACCAACATGAACACTGCCACTTCACTGTAATAGCCAGCCTGTCACTTCTGCTTTGTAAAATCACTACCCGCTACCGCCAATAGTCCGATGGCATTATTCTGCAACTACAACCATCCCACAACTGTCCATTTTACTATCTGATCACAACCACTGCCACCGTGGTCATCGCCATTACATTGCAATCAACAATGCCACATTCCTCACCTCCAGTGCTGTCATTTGATGCTTTGTGATCAAGTTGTAAATAAAGTAAAAATAGAAGAGGTGCGATGTGTTCAAGAAAAGTGAACTATGATCATTGAAAAAGTACTTTGTTTGGGGAAAAAGTAGAAACTGAATGTATTAGATAGAGATAATCTCCAAATCTAGGGTACAAGAGCTAGGGCTTTGAAATTACAATCTCAAAATGATCAAAACTGAGTGCTACTGACAATTAGCTCCTTATTTACACCAACCACTAACACAACTTCCACTAGGACAGTTGTAGAACAGCTGTGAAGAGCTGGAGCTGAAGTAATACAACAACAAACACTTATTCATTATAAAATCGCTAGAAATTGAAAGATTTGGTTGACTCCTTAAGAATGTTGGATATTATAAGCATCAGTTTGAGGAAGCCTTTTGAAAATACATTAGAATGTGTTAACTGCTTGCTGTGTTACGTGGACTCAGGTATGAGTGTTGAGTTCGAGAATGTTTTATGTCAGATTCATCTAAGTACTATGTCCAAAGACTCAAGGATACAAAAATCTTTAATTTTACAGGATAAAATGGGGTTTACAAGGTGACATAAAACATTTCATGCATAATATGGGAGGTTTATGCATAGCTATTTGGAAAACTCGAATTGTTCAACAAGCTTGTTGGGTGAATATCCAAATACATGTTGAACACATATTCCATAACTTCATCCAAATGTCAATTGTTTGGCACAAATGCTTCTCTAATTTGGAAGAATTCATGTAAGATAGAAAAAGAGATGAAAAAGAAAAGATGAAATTGAGATAAGGAAGAAAATTTATGCTCTTTTGTTTGAATAGCACTAGTTCGGGTTGGTTCATTAATGCGTCTCCATGATGATATAGAGAGAGATTGAGGAATAAATGTTAATTTCCTACTTTCTGTTTCTGGTAATATTGCAGTTTATTCCAACAACATTGACTCTTGATTCAGGAGTTACGAGGCCACCATCACTTTTAAGTGAAGCTGATTTACTAAATTGTATGGACAAGGTGGGGAAATCTTATAGGATATTTAAACTGAAATTGATTTGCTTTTGATTCTGTGCTTTGTTTTGTAGCTTAAATTCACTAGTCATGAGTTTTCATATGTTGGTTATTATGGTTTAACAAATACTTTGTTTTCCCCTTATTTTTTTAGGCGGGCATTGGCACAGATGCCACAATGCATGATCACATAAAAAAGCTGCTTGATCGATTTTATGCCACCAAAGACTCCAACACTCGTTTCTCACCAACCAATCTTGTATGTTCATACAAGTTCAACTATATATGCAATATTATTAACCAATCTTTTGTGCATTATATTTCCTCTTCCCTCTAATTGTAGTTTCAAACCCCCCACCCCTTCCCCCGTAATTACGTGCTTGTTTTTTGTTGGGGAATTGCAAATCAATGGGAAGACGTGAAGGTAATTTAAAAACATGGAGGTGGAAGTGCATCTGTGCTTTTGTGCAAATGAAAACTGTGGCTTTATTTGCATCAGAGCGCATACCCCACTTGCTCCCTTCTCTCTCTCTCTCTCTCTCTCTCCTGTCCAAATGGCACAAATATGGACATGGGACATGAATGACATGTTGAATTGAATTTATCAAGAAATCAAGATGTAGATGTGTGAAAAAGTCCCACGTTGCCTGGGTACAAAGAGGATGTGCAGTGTATAAGCGTGAGAACACCCTCACTTCACAAGCTAGCTTTTGCAGTTGAGTTCTACCCAAGACCGTGTCACCATCGAGCATGGACCAAACTATTCTTAATTCTTTTTGTTCTTGTTAGTGTCACACCATCACCCATTTTTGCTCCCAAGTGGCTACTTGACTTAGGCTATTAAAGATGAATGGGTAAACTAAGGGTGCACGAGACTCTCTTTGGACTTCAGTGATCATCGTTTCTTAGTGAGTTCTATCTATACAAACCGTCTACATCAGTTCATCATGTTAAAAATGTCAACACACCAGATAAAATGGAAGTATTTTTAGTTTGTTATACAAGCCATTGATTTCTTGTGGGCAATGATTAGATGTAGTTTTTGTTGAGATTTATCATTATTGTCCCTTTTTTTTTATATTATTATTTATAAATATTTATCATTATTGTCCTTTGAGTACCTTATATGCTACTCTCTTTCATTGTTATAGATGTGTGGGTGAGCTTTAGCATTGATAATTTGGTGCAATTAAACTTTGTGCCACTTCCTACAAAATATTGTTTCTTTTTTTAAGTGATTATGAATCTGATTTGGTTTCAGGGTGAGGCACTAGTTATGGGATATGATGACATGGGGTAATTATTTAAGCTTAATTTCTTTTAGTAGTGTTTTTTGTTTTCTGCACAATATCACCCTTCTATGGGTGTATAGAGATATTAAACTTACCTGACTAATGATTTTAGATGGCATGTTAGTTCTTTGCTTCAGGAAAGTGCAAATGCAATTAGCAATTTGCTTGTTGTGGATATTATATTAAAAAAGGTGACCACAAATATTATGTAAATCTGTGACATTAACTGGTTAAGATTTTTATTTCAATACTTAGGCCTTGTTTGGGATGTAGAGTTTTTTGCCAAAAAGCCACTACAAGTTCAAATCATTCTCTCTACTTTTTTCCGTCTTTCTGTAAAAGGTCAAAACGCACTGAAAAAGCCAATTCCCAAACACCCCATTAAAAAATAGTTTGGTATATTATTATTTTTTTAACTGCAATTTGCTCCTGAGCAATTTATTCGAATTTTTTTGTATTATTAATAGTATAATTAGCTGTTATAATGGCACTGCTTGCTCAACTATCCACCATCATTCATTATGCTGTCTGAAGCTCAGCAGTTTTTGCCTCTAAAATTCCATTGATTTTTTAAAAATATTTTAAGGATGGAAGTGAAATTATTATTTAATTTTTAAATAAATCAAAGTAATTAAATAATGGCTGTGTGATGAAATTAATTGAAAATAGAAGCCATTATTTTTAGTTGGTACAGCCATAAATTGAGAAGTGTCTTAATTGTATATTAATAGCCATTACAACATCCTTGTAAGGATATGGATATCATGGCAAAATGCATCTGATTTGGCATAAAGACCATACGTTCACATAGTAGTGGTTGTGGTGTTTCTGCCTGATGTGAAATGGTTCTGTTGATGAATCTGTCACAAAAAAATTGTGTGTTGCCTATACATTTGTTGTGTCCTGAAAAAGAATTATTCAGTGAGTTAAACATTTTGAGAAGTGGTGAATGACTTGATCATGCTATCCTGATATGGTGAATCCTCATGTCACACAACAATGCCTAAATAATTGGCATGCAAGGAAAGCACAAGCATGTATTATTTTAATTGAAGAACAAGTGCAATATATCTGTACATAATGTAGGTTATATTCATATGCTACTGTTACTGGTAATATGAGGAATTATAAATTATTTTGTTTTCTTCTTGTCAGTTATGAACTTTGGAAACCATATCTTCGAGCTATGATGGAGAATGACATGAAAGCAGTTAGCATAGGGACAAAGAGAAAAGCTGAGGTTTTGTCAACCTGCTTGGAGCAAATGAAAGCTTGCTTCTTAGATGTAAGTTAATCCATGACCTCTTGAGAAGACCCATGCCTGATACTATTTCAACAAAATCATGCTGTAGCGTTGATTTCTTCCATGCAAATATGGCCTCAATATTGTTTGCAAGTTTTTTTATTTATTAAAAAAAAAAAAAAAAAAAAACTCATAATAAGATGACATTGTGAGCCAATGAAGTGAGTTTTGATTCTTGGCCTCATTATATTCTTAATTAGTGTACGAAATGTAATTGTGTTACAGACTTACTGTGTTGATTGCTATTATCTTGTGCTTGAATAATTACAATGGTGTGTGTACCATGACATGCATTGATCATACAACCAAATCTTTCCAACAGTATAAAATCTCTTTACGACCAATGAAAACTTTGCATGTAACAATCACAATGGTTAATCAGATGCATATTTGTTTTGGTATATGCTTTGTAACAAATATCATCTCTTTGTAATTCTCTTTCCTAATATATATGACTGTCTAATTTTTTCCATGCGTTCCACATTATGTATGATTATGCCTTTGGATAATTATACTGGATGTTTTTTTGCAGGCAAGGTTGAATAAAGTAAAATTGTTTGAAGCCATGGGAATTTTTTTCGAGAGGTGGTTCTTTACCTTTCCCAAGTGCCCTTAATAATATATTGGCCTTCAAATGAGCTGAGCTGTTCATGAACAACTCGGGCTTGGCTCGCTATGAGGATTACTCAAGCTCGTTCACTAAATAGATGAACCAAGCTTGAACTTGAATTTTAGGTTCGTTTGTTATATGACCCAAGCTTGAGTAAGATTGAGCTCAGCTCGGTTAGACTTGGTTCGCTAACTAACAACAAAGGGTCTTCCAAACATGCCATTGTTTAGTTTCTCAATGTACATAAGATATTTTTCGGAAGCTCGTGTCTCAACATACGGATAATATATATGCTTCACGTTATAACTTATACCCTTGGAGTTGATATATATCTATAGTGCCTTTGAATTTGAACTTAAAAATAATTATGTTTAATAATTATATTTGACCCTCAAATGTCTAATTTCCTAGGACCTGTCTTAGGCAACAAAAAGAGATGCACTCTCTTTGTAGTCAACACTACTGAGAGAGTGAGAGAGCAGAGACGAAAGAAGGATGATTATGTATTCTTTGGCTATCTATTCCACTCTCTCCTTTTTCATTCAATTCACAGCGGAGTTATTTCATCTCTCTTTCTCCTTTTCTTTGGTATTCATCTTTACTTTTTTCTTTTAGATGTGTAAATCAATCTGCAAAAGTTCACTAAATCTCGAAGTTTTTTTAATCTCTAAAGGATCCTTCATTTTGTATTTGGACAGAGATTTAGTTTGAATTTTTAGTTTTTTGATATTTTCTACCATAATCTATCTAATATGTTTGGATTGGTCTTTACTTATCTAAAAGAATTTATGTTTGCTTAAGGTTTGTTCTTCTTCTTTGTCCTACATAGCTGCCGTTGTGTGTTTTGTAACGAGCCAAGCTCGAGTTCATTGAAAAATGGTGAGCCGAGCACAAACACCCTTTCAACTTGAACATAATCACAAAAAAGCTCCGCTCGGCATGCCTTGGCTCATTTGCGGCCCCAATAGTATATGGTTTATTTAAATTCTTCTGCTATCTCTGTAGAACTAGTAGATCAGGTGCAGATGAGCAGCATGCAGTTGGAGATGTTGTTCGGCGATGTGGTGTTTGCCAGGAATCAGATATGGTGCTTAAGCGGAAACCGGTAACTATTTGCATGTTAGATTTTTTGTTGATGTCAATAAACAATTAAAATGTTTGTCACTATCTTTGTTTTGCAGTGGGTAGTTCTATTTCTGCTAAAAGTTTTGCGTTCATTTATTTTTCACGTTTCTAAGCAAGTTGTATTGAAGTTGAAACGACGTGTATATTTATGTAGCATAAATAGATATTGTTAACAGATAACACTGCTATGCAGTTTCTTTTCTGAAATACATCTGATATCCTTCTGGTCAATTTCTGGAATAATCAACTGTTGGTTTTGTTATTTAAGATGGGTCAATATCTTGAAGTACCATGCGAAGTGTGCTGCTAATTAAACATTTTGGTTCGTCTTTCTTAGGGTACAAAGTCTCTTATTTCTTTTAGTCAGTTTATGAAAAAAGCATTTTATAGATGAACTTTCATATTTATTTTTGCCTTTCCTGTAAACTGTCGGAAAAAGACAAACCATGGGCTTCTGGGGCATTGGTCTGCTAGGTTCTAATTCATATATCACCAGGGAACTTACTATTCAAATTCGAGAAACTACCTCATTTTTTCTCCCCTCTGAACCCCTGTCATATAATAAGAAATTTGTCTTTTTGTTTTGTTTTGTTTGTTTGTTTGTTTGTTTGCCATTTTTTTTTGAATATGATTGTGGTTTCATAAATTGAATTTTTCTTTCTTTGAACTTAGATCTTGTGGCATTTTTCTTTCTATGATGTTTTTTGCACCCTCCTTTATTGATGTTTAACTCTTGTATTGTATGGGTTTCTAATTCATCAATAAAGATTTCTTTTGCTGATAAAAAAAAATATTAAGCAATCTGCTCCCTCTATGCAGGATGGAAATTTCATGGTTGGGTGCTTGGGTTATCCACAAGTAGGTGTTTTTGCCATTGATTTTGTTAACTTATTAAAAATCCTACATTTGGAATTATGTTTAACATATTAGACAAGCTATTCAATGTTGCACTGAACCTTTGAGAATGAGATGAATTATTCATTTCTTAAAATAAACTTGATCTGTTCGAAATGTTGTTATTGTTGACTTGATGTTGGATTGTCCATCTGATGATCTTTTGAATATCTTGTATTTACTAATTGCATGCATGAAGCAATACATTACTGTATTTTCATTATGCAAATCTGGAAATGTGAAATAGAATTGCTTCATTTCTTGTGTAGATTATGTAGAACTTTATTTATGTTCTCTATATCCTATCAATTACTTCATACGGCTTTGTACCATCCACGACTATGAATAGCAAAAAGTCTAATCCACTCATGTAAGCTGAATGCAATTCGATTTTGCTTTATCCAAATTAATATGACGTACTGTGGAAGAAAAATACTTCATTTTTCTGGGTAAAGAGATGAAAAAGATATGCTGGTCTAATAACGTAGGGAATTGTCAGAAAAAAGAGCTTGCGCAAAGGAGTATACATAAATATGAAACTTAGTGGTTTTAAGATTCAAGGCTCTTTTGAATATTGGTGTGTAAGGTCTACTATTTTTAGCCAATAAAAAAAGCTCTACTATTTTTAGGGATATGATGTAGCATCATGTAAATCAAGCAGAATGTTTGATGCAAATAGATTGGGCCCTTCTACCAAGTTGATGCAAATGGATGCAACAAATAGGCAATAGATGCAGCCAACGAAGTCCTGGACACTTGAAATCAGAAATAGCAAAACCTGAGCACAAACAGCTTCTACAATCTGATATTAAGGATACTAGAACCAAGAAATATAATTTTCTAGCATAACATTTCAACTAGAACCAATATTAAGCACCAAATGATGTTTGTTCTTGAAATCCAAGGGACAATACCGGAATACGGTAGTCTTCTAAATAACAGCTTAGATGCTAGCCTCTTTGCAGATGCAGCAGTGATGAAGTGATTGGTAGGCACCACGGGGTTTGAATCCTCAAATCAAATCCCTTCTTCCAAAAATTTGTGTTCTCTTCATCAAAATGTGCCCTTTCCCTGCAGATCTACCCTTTTTCATGGAAAGTCGAGAGACTTCTTGGGAGAGCCTGAAATTCCTTGACAAGGTTGATTCACAATTATGGATCTACTAGTCCAGTCATCAACCACTTGGTCAATTCAACCAATCAAATGATCAAGCCATAGCTAGATCACAATCTAAACAATTAAGAGAGTGACGATTTTAATATGGAAAACCTCAAGTGGAGAGCCTCCAATTGAGATGAAAGCAAATGGGCCCAAGGCCAGAAAGTCAATCCACTAATCAAATGAACAATTACAAGAGTTTCTTACAATCCTTGTGATTGTGGTTTCATAAATTGAATTTTTCTTTCTTTGAACTTAGATCTTTTGGCATTTTTCTTTCTATGATGTTTTTTGCACCCTCCTTTATTGATGTTTAACTCTTGTATTGTACGGGTTTCTAATTCATCAATAAAGATTTCTTTTGCTGATAAAAAAATATTTCTAATGCAGGATGGAAATTTCATGGTTGGGTGCTTGGGTTATCCACAAGTAGGTGTTTTTGCCATTGATATTGTTAACTTATTAAAAATCCTACATTTGGAATTCTGTTTAACATATTAGACAAGCTATTCAATGTTGCACTGAACCTTTGAGAATGAGATGAATTATTCATTTCTTAAAATAAACTTGATCTGTGCGAAATGTTGTTATTGTTGACTTGATGTTGGATTGTCCATCTGATGATCTTTTGAATATCTTGTATTTACTAATTGCATGCATGAAGCAATACATTACTGTATTTTCATTATGCAAATCTGGAAATGTGAAATAGAATTGCTTCATTTCTTGTGTAAATCATGTAGAACTTTATTTATGTTCTCTATATCCTATCAATTACTTCATACGGCTTTGTACCATCCACGACTATGAATAGCAAAAAGTCTAATCCACTCATGTAAGCTGAATGCAATTCGATTTTGCTTTATCCAAATTAATATGACGCACTGTGGAAGAAAAATACTTCATTTTTCTCGGTAAAGAGATGAAAAAGATATGCTGGTCTAATAACGTAGGGAATTGTCAGAAAAAAGAGCTTGCGCAAAGGAGTATACATAAATATGAAACTTAGTGGTTTTAAGATTCAAGGCTCTTTTGAATATTGGTGTATAAGGTCTACTATTTTTAGCCAATAAAAAAAGCTCTACTATTTTTAGGGATATGATGTAGCATCATGTAAATCAAGCAGAATGTTTGATGAAAATAGATTGGGCCCTTCTACCAAGTTGATGCAAATGGATGCAACAAATAGGCAATAGATGCAGCCAACGAAGTCCTGGACACTTGAAATCAGAAATAGCAAAACCTGAGCACAAACAGCTTCTACAATCTGATATTAAGGATACTAGAACCAAGAAATATAATTTTCTAGCATAACATTTCGACTAGAACCAATATTAAGCACCAAATGATGTTTGTTCTTGAAATCCAAGGGACAATACCGGAATACGGTAGTCTTCTAGTTCTAGACAACAAGGAAAATAACAGCTTAGATGCTAGCCTCTTTGCAGATGCAGCAGTGATGAAGTGATTGGTAGGCACCACGGGGTTTGAATCCTCAAATCAAATCCCTTCTTCCAAATCTTCAAAACCCTCTCAAATATGTATTCTCTTCATCAAAATGTGCCCTTTCCCTGCAGATCTACCCTTTTTCATGGAAAGTCGAGAGACTTCTTGGGAGAGCCTGAAATTCCTTGACAAGGTTGATTCACAATTATGGATCTACTAGTCCAGTCATCAACCACTTGGTCAATTCAACCAATCAAATGATCAAGCCATAGCTAGATCACAATCTAAACAATTAAGAGAGTGACGATTTTAATATGGAAAACCTCAAGTGGAGAGCCTCCAATTGAGATGAAAGCAAATGGGCCCAAGGCCAGAAAGTCAATCCACTAATCAAATGAACAATTACAAGAGTTTCTTACAATCCTTGGTGAACCCACACTCTACGGACTTAAGTTACTCTTGCTGGGTTCATTGCTCTCTTGGGATCAATCTTCTAAGTGCTAAATTTACGAGATGACCACCACCTCTAGAATCCACTAAAGATCTTCACAAATGCCTTGGCAATCCATCAAAGGACTTCACCATAGATGAAGAAATGATGGGATGAAGGCTCGAAGATGATCAATTCATGCTATAAGACTCTTAGATCAATTCATGCTCTAAGACTCTTAGAGCATGGTGTTTGAGATACTTGCACACCATATGCTCAAGCACGAGAATAAAAAAAAGAGAAACTATAAAATAGATGTAATTTAGAGAATGACTAAGAAAATATTATAGCTAATGTTATAATTATTGGAGGCATTCAACCCAAAACCAACTAGCATTAAGTGGAGAGGTTTCTAGACTATATGAAGCAAACTTTGGTAGCTTAGAGAGGCAATGTGGGACAAGTCTCTAACACTCCCCCACACATGTGACTTGGTTGCATGTGGAGGTGATAAAGAGATGAAAGAAATAGACCCAGGACAGAAACTTGGGTTGTGAGGCTATTGAAAACCTAGTTTTGATACCATGTTAGAATTCTTTGATGCGTCTAATCCAAAATCAATTGGCATTAAGTGAAGAGGCCTCTAGACTATATGAATCAAGCTTGGGTTGCTATTGGTTTATATAGTTTAAAGGCCTCTCCACTTATAATCAATTGGTTTTGAGTTGGATGCCTCTAAAATTCTAACATGGTATCAGAACTAGTCTTTGGTGGTCTCTCGAGCCAAATCTCTGACCTAGGGTTTGTTTCCTTTCATTTGTTTATCACCTTCACATGCGAACGGGTTGCATGTGCGGGAAAGTGTTAGATACTTGTCCCATATCGCTTTTTTGAGTCATCCAAGCTTGCTTTGTATAATCTGAAGGGCCCTCAACTTATAACTATTTGGTTTTGAGTTGGATGTTTCCAAAAATTCTAATGATTGACAATAAAATAGAAGCAATGGAGCTTTACTTGGAATAGTGTCAACGAGAACATGTGACAATGATAATCAATATTTGCATGACCAATTTTAGAAGGTTTTCTCTTTAAACCTTATAGGATAATACCTCCATCCCAAATTGTTTGTCCGACACGCAAAGAAGAACTTAAAAATAATGTATATCTTAAAATTTTCAATTTTTTTCACAAATTAAAAATACTTAATGAGATCTTTTAATTAGTGAATTAAATTTTAGTGCAAGAATACATTATTTTTATGTTCTTGTTTTCCTTGCCGGACAAATAATTTGGGACAAGTGGAGTATTATTTAATTGACTTGAACAAACTAGCAATTTTAAGTTTAGGGTTCGGATCTTCGCATAAGAGTATTGCAATTGTCAGGATTGCACTGGTTGTTTGCATCACCAAGTGCTGCATTGGGTAGTTGCACATGCTTCTCCCAAGTTGTGGCATTGCTCTGTAAAATAGCCATCTTTGTTGCATCTCTTACAATTTCATATCAAAACTTGTTAATAGCTCTATTTTTTGTTGTTGCGAAGATTGCTACATAAATTTGTGTTATCCCTTTGGTTATGGTTATCATAATCCTAATCTGGATCTTACGATCCATTTGGGAACAATCGAAAGATTGCTACATAAATTTGTGTTATCCCTTTGGTTATGGTTATCATAATCCTAATCTGGATCTTACGATCCATTTGGGAACAATCGATCCGGATCGTGTAAAAACTACCTTATAGGTAGGATCTTTTGATCTTGGTATTAGAATCTTATAGGATCATGGGATCTGAATCCAAATCCGATCCAATTTACAAGCCTTGTTTGTATTGTATGACATATTTTATTGTAAATTTTATGTTTGTTGTTTAAATACCAATTTATGTGATCAAAATAAATAATAAAAATTAAGTAGTATTGAATCAAATAGATTAAGAAAAACAAATTAGGAAGCAGACATTTAAATATTGCGGTTATTTAAGAAAATTAACTAGTTGGAAAAACAAATTTAGCTTTAGTCGAATTTGAGGAGGGCAAGATGATTGCAACTTTACCCCAATTTTTGGAGAGATTATTTTTGTGACTCGAATCCGCTCCACCAGGGATGCTAACTACAAACCTTATCATTCGGTTAAGCTGCTCTTTTGAGTTATTAATCTATTTTCATATCCAGCTTTGTTAAATATTTTTTCTTCTCTTTTTATGTATTGTTGTAGATTGTAAAGTATTTTGTTATATAATTCTTCTTCTTCACCTTCTTTTTTGATAAAATATAAAACATTTACCATCGAGTTTTGTATTATATAATTTTATCTGTACATTTTACATGGAGTATTATATTTTTCACAATATCTTCACTTTTTTTAATAGAATAAAGGCTCATTTTGTGTGTACTTTTTAAGAAATGTTTATTTAAATTAAATTATTACGTAATTTGTCTTTTTTGGTTGGATCTTACGATCCTTGATTTGATTCTGCAATCCGATCTTGTAAACACCTCCAATGATCTAACTTAGGATCCCGATTTTGACAACCTTGCCTTTAGTTTCAGTTCTATCTATTTCCTTCATCATCTTCCCTTTTGGCTTTGCTCTTGTGCTCTTGGCACCTTAAATTTGAGTCAAATTGCTCCTATTGGTCCATCCATTCAATGATCTTGGAATTGTGTCCAAACAATCTTAGATTATCATTCTTCTATCTTGTCCTCGATTGGTACTTCATAAACTTCTAAAAGTATGTTAATTTCTTAATTTAGTTTTGTTGTAGCCTGTATCATCCAGCCTAACATTTTGTACATCCTATGAAGCACCGACACGTCCCTAGGCCTCACGTACGAGTGTCGGACACGTGTCGGACACGGACACGCGTCGGACACGCACTAACATTTTGTACATCTTTCTTTTTCCTTTCCTTTTTGTATTCTTTTGGAAACAATGTTTGTTTTTTGTGAGTATTTATTACCAAAAAAATAAGAGAAGTACACGTTTAGTAAGGTATTCCTTCCATTACAAAAGGAGAAGATCTGAACTACAACCAAACAAAATAAATCTAAGAGCTAATGATGCTAAAAAAACATATTAGTCTGGTTTGCTGAATGCACTCCTATGTACAGTTTTATTCTCTGGATGGAATTCAAGGACAAACTCAGAACCAAAGACAAGCTCTTTGAGTGGTGAGTCATTGCCAATGCAACCTGTCTACTTTCGGTCAAGAGGAGGAAAATTTGCAGCATCTCTTCCTCTCCTGCCCCTTTTGCAGGTCTGTCTGGCTGCAGGTTTCAAGCTTATGCAATATCAGAATGCCTTGTCATTCTTGGCAGGCTGAAGTTAACTGGTTAGTTAGCAAATTCAATGGAAAAAGCTTTCATAATATTGTTAGGAAGCTTGGGATTAGGTAAAATAAAGCTGGTGTTGGAGCTATCTTGTAAAATTTCCCTTAAGTTTTTTAAGCCTTCTGCATTTGCACAAACTCTAGAGGCCCGTCACTTGCTTTCACCAACTTTGAGTGGGTTCTGGTGACCAGATTGAACTAGCTAATGTTTGTTATTTTGATTGTCAACTTCTTGAGCAATCTTGTTATCCTCTAACTTCCAAATGATTGAATTTCTAGACTTTTGCTGACGAATGAGTTATATAGATGTTTTGACCTTCCTTGGCCAGACCAAGTAAACAGCCGATGCTACTCTTTTGCTATAATTTATCACCACCATGCCCCTTGCAGTCGTTACCTGAATTATCATCATCAGCTGATGATTTTCCCCCCCATATTCAAACATCATTTTTTCCCTCTATGCTTCTGAATTACTGCGTGAAGTGACAAGGTGAATAATCAAGATTAAGGAGAAATTCAAATTACACTCTCTCTCTCTCTCTCTCATGGAAATCTAATGTGAGTCCAGTTGAGAAATTTTATGCTGCTTAATTTTGGTGAATTTATTTTTTCTTTGGTGACTTAAATTTATTTTGTACCACATCTTTGCAGTGTAGGAATGTTGTATGGCTTCCTGGATCTATAGCTGAAGCAACTGTTACGACTAATGTTTGCAGCGTATGCTCTCCAGGTTATCTAGACTCTGCTTAGTGTTTTATATGCGGCGACCTAGTTGATTTGTATGGTCATTTTTTTCATTTGTTATATTTAATTATTTGACAATTAATACTAATAATTCATGGGCGCTTACTTTCTCATTTAATATTTCTTGATGTTCTGATAGTAGACAATTGTTTCACAGGTCCAGTTTTCATGATTCAGTTTAAGTTTCGGCGGCTGGAGATACCACCAAACTACAATGTTGACCATTTAGGTATATCTGGATTTGAAGAGATATAGGGATTTGATTTATTTCATCGTTGCATTGGCTTTATTTTATGATGATAAAGCAGTACTCTTTTGTCATAATTTTTTGTATGTACTTAATTGATATTTGCCCTTCAACTTGTTGTCAGTTACTTAGTGCGTTTAATTTTATTTGAACTTAATCTTCACATAGATGTTTTCATTTTTGCACTTCATTTCGGTCTGCTCATGGTTGTGGCTGCTTTCTTCACCTTGGGGTTGGGAATATTCTTCCAAATGAGTAGTTTTGTTATTAAGAATTATTTCACAGTCACCAGGGATGTTGTAGTTGAACAACAATTTCATCTTCAAAATAGTGAGCAGTTAATTCTCTCTTTGTGATTAAGAATTAATATGGACACAGATGGGACACACCGACTAACTTTCCCCCCCTCTTCTTTAGTGCTTTTGATGGATGTTGGGTGCTGAATGTATAATCACTTTTTGCTTAGATTGTAATGAACAGATGATGCATTGGATGATAAGTTCTTTATCTTGTAACCAAACCAAACCAAACCAAACCAAGCTTTAAGTCCCATCAAATGGGGTCGGGTGCATGAATCCTTTTTCTCCATGCGGCTCTATCAAAGGCCATTTCGTTAGTCAAATTAAGTAGATCTATATCTCTATTTACAACGCTAGCCAACGTTAATCTAGACCTATCCGGTACCCTAACACTTCCATCTAGCGTCACTATATCGCATCTCTTTACTACTGCCTCTATTAGTCCCCATTGAATATGATCAAACCATCTCAATCGATTCTCTCTCAACTTATCTTCTATTGGTGCTACTCTTACCCATTCTCGAATACTCATTCTTAATTCTGTCTTGTCTAGTTTTGCCACACATCCACCTTAGCATTATCATCTCAGCAACACTCATCTTATGTACATGTTGTTTCTTGGTTGCGCAACACTTCGTTCCATACAACATCACTGGTCTAATAGCCGTTCTATAGAACTTACCTTTTAGTCTAGTGAGTATTCGTTTATTGCACAGTAGCCCAGATGCACTTCTTCACTTAAGCCATCCCGCCTTAATCCTATGCGCCACATCCGCACCAATCTCTCCCGCCGTTGTGATAATCAATCCTAAATAACGAAAATGTTCACTCTTTTTTGTTGATGATTTATTAATTATTTAAGTCTAGTTTTTTTATTTTTATTTTTATTTTTATTTTTATTTTTATTATTTTTATTATATATATATTTTTCCAATATTGAATTAATGTTAACTTTTGTTAATTTTGATTGTTTGTGGATGTAATATTGTCATTTTTTTGACATCACAGTATCTCGTGTCCATGTCTCTGTTTCTTAGCTGGTGAATCTTCAATTAATTAAGTTGGCAATTGTTGTTTGTAGTTATGATAAACACTGATTTTGCTACATATCTTGTCAGGTTGCATTGGAGGCTGTGATGAGATTCTGAAGCAGTTGGTAGAAATTTGTGGAACTGGTTCCCGCAATCTTTCAACCACACCTGGTGTGTAATAGATGCTTATTTAGTGTTATTACTTGAACAAATTGCAAGAGAGCATGTCATATTTTACAACCAGTTCATGGCTTATATGTACATTTTCTGTCTTTATCGTTAATATTGCTTTTGATAACTAATGCTTGAAAGAAATAGTTCCAGTAAATTATGCAATTGTCTAAAAGTAATACACCATCCCTGCATGCTACTCCTATGCTGATCCTTCTAGTTCCAAATTTTATGAGATAAAAAGCAAGGAATAGATGTTTTTCTACATTTGATTATAATATACACTAGCTGACTTGGAACTAATATTGTATTATACTTCATAGTTTGCATAGTCCATCCTAATCATGCATTGCAGTGTTTCCATGTGCTATAGTTTGTGTAGGATGAATAGATGGTGGTATGACTGCCGGAATGGTATACCAAAGGTTATCATCGTTTTCTTTGGAATGAATATTGCAACTTGATAACGGGATATTTTGTTAGAAATTCAGGATAGAAACTATGCTGTTCCAGACAAATTATACATTTGGCTTAAGAAAAATACTGCATGTTTTCAATACCGGTAAAACACGTTTTAAAGAAAAGATTTGAAAGAATTTTGGGGGAATATTAGATAAATGGGAAACTGATTGCAAATCAATGAAAACTTTGCACTCAGATTGATGTGCAATTAGTTCCCCCATTTCCCATTAATTTGATATTTTGCCCAGAATTTTACAAGAAGAATTTATACAATGTAAGACATCAAAAGATTTTACAAATTGAATCATGTCTTATGCACTCACGTGCTCATAAGAGAGACTATTTATAGAAACTCTAATATATTTTCTTGCAATCAACCACGATCTGTATCCTGAGTAATGTAATATTTTCTTCAGCAAGAGGTCGAGGAACTGCTACATCCTCCAGCAGTGCCCAACGAAGTAATTCAAGGCAGATTGCTTGCACACACTGCAGGCAATATGGGCATTCTTCAAACGACTGTCCTTCACAAACTTCTCGCTCTTCCAGGGCTCGATCTCAGGGAATGAACCAGCAATCTGGTAAGATCTCTGTAAATTCTATTTTCCCTTATCACTAGAAAATCTCTTTAGAATAATGTTCCATGTTATATGATCAAATTAGGACTTGCAAGACAAATACATCCAGGGGAATGTGTGAGCAGGCATCCAAATATTTATGCATACTTAGACAGAAATTACCAGGATCAGAAATTGGCACCAAAAATTTTAATATTTTGATGCCTGAAGAGGCTAGTTGCTTTCTTGTAGAATGAGTTACACGACTTATTAGGGTATCTTTGTGCCAGTTGTGCTTTGCTCACGTCCCCCAAAGGCACAAAAGCTCATCTTCTTCAAGAGAGATTCTGAACTGAATTATCACATAAGCTTCTAACCATTGTTGACTACTCTACGCATGAGTTGAATAGTGTAGAGTAGCTTTTTCATCATCGCTATTGAGAGGTCCATACGTGGTTTATCTTATAATGCCTTCAGATAATGCAGGAGAATCTTCAATTCCTTGTGATACATGTGGTACACCATGCATTTTGCGTACTGCGAATACTGAAAGTAACAGAGGAAGAAAGTTTTACTCGTGTCAATCACAGGGCTGCAACTTCTTTGCGTATGTCAATCTAGACTTGTATTCGCATAGTATTTGCATAAAATATTACTTGATATGAACTATATGTTGACCTCTTATTGGTTCTAAATCATTCCTTCCTTTTTCTTCCCATGTTTCTATCCCCCCATTTTTAATTAAAACAAAAGCTGTCATGAAAGCAGTTTTTAAAAACGATACCGAAGGGCCAAAAATGTTTTCCTTTATCTGTATCTGTTTTAATGGGATGAAGAAGCCTGCTTCCACTATTTAATACTTTCATTTGGTCCCTCACAATGCAGATGGGAGGATAGCCTCAACAACAGTAATAGGGGAAGAAGTGTTCCGCGTGCAAATGTCAGCAGCTCAGCATCCAATACCAGAGCAAGGGGTGGCCGTGGCAGGGGAGGCCGGAGTGGACGTGCTGTTGACACGACTTTTGTGTCAGCAACAGGTGATCCGATATCTGGTAGAAGGTGCTTTGTTTGTGGTGATCCTTCACACTTTGCGAATGTTTGCCCAAATCGTGATACGTGATTCATGACCCCTCACCTACCTTAAAAGTAGCAAATGTTTGTACCTGCTCATTTTAGAATGATTGTGGGCTGTAATACAATATATATATATATATATATATATATATATATATTGTGGGTATCTTTTTTTGATATTATGCAATACGAACTTGCTAGTCTAGTTGATTCTTTTTGAGGACAAGTCTAGTTGATTCTGCTTATATTGATAGATCAAACATTTTTTAGTCACAGACGTCCGAATTCATTACAAACTTGAAATTTGAACCATTAACTATTGACTGCTGATTGTGAGTTCATGAATGAATCTTGAATTTGAATTTGAATTTGAATCTTAATTTTTGTTTTCCGAATGACATGACATAAGAAAATACAAATTGATGGGACTTTTCTCAAAATAAGCCAAAATACCAAGTTATTTTCTAAACTAGGCTTAGCTCGGATGGAATTTTCAAAATAGGCTAAAACGTGGTTACAAACAACGCTTTTACCGTTTTTGTGGTCTTCTCGTGGAAAATTTGTAAAATTATAAAAACATGGTTACAAATTACGCTTTTAAGTAAATTTTTTTCCCTTCAGAATGTAAAAACGTGTTTTGAAAACATGTTTTCAATAAAACACAAAATGTTGCACTCAGTCTATACTCTCTCTCTCTCTCTCTCTCTCTTTTTCCTGACACACTCACATCTTTTTAATATATATAAATTTTATTTTATAAATTTGGGACCAATATTAAATATATATAATAATAATTTATAATAGCAAATAATAATCAACTATATAATTTTTATAATTTTTGTAAATATAAATCATTTTTATATAATTTTTTTCTTTTGAGTGGTTAGAAATAATTTTTTACAAATTAAATTGAAACAACTATACGTATGTATATAACTTGTTCAAAAGCTAAAATGATAATTATTTTTTACCCTTAAATGATAATTATTTTTTATTTTTTATTTCTTAACCAAATTAATTTTTAATTTTCAAAAAAAAAATTCTAAAAATCAAACCATACATAGCCTAAAAATCTTTTGATAAGTCATTTCTTACGTTGGTAACTTATTTAATTATTTGTTAATTTTACGACATTTTTACGATCTGAGGCATGTTTTGGGACTTTATAAATTCAATCAGTTTAATGATCCCACATTGGTTATTTATAACTTGAGGGTGATGCTATGGTACATTTGGATGTATTGTACATCAGTTATGAGGATATGTAATAACTAATATCATATAGATTATAATTATTATCATATTAACTCATAACTTAGTTATATTTAGTTATTCATACATACCATATTATCTCATAACTATCACATAACTAAATTATTTTAATAATTTAATGAGGTTTTGAAGTTGTTTTTACAAGAATTTTCACATGCATGTTCATATCTTAGTTTTGTTAAAAGAATTCAACTTGTTTTTGAGCTTAATGACTCATTTGATCATGTTTTGGGAAATTGAAATTCATGATATTACATGCAAGTTATGTTATTTCATGTTTCAAGCTTTGTTTAATACAATTAGCCTAGCTTTTGGGCTTAGCTTTTGTAAAATAGTTTGTAATTCATCATGTATTGTGAGTTTCCTAATGTTTTACTAAGTTTTGGCCCAAAATCATTTCGTTTTTAGTTTTCAACTTATATTTATAAAAATTTTAAAAATTATCATAAAAACTTGTTTGATAATTTTTTTGGTTTATAAATGGTTGTCTCAATTTGTAAATTTGAGAAAAAAACGTAAATTCAAAAAATGGGTTTACGTTGGTTTTTAAATTTTACTAACAAAATTGTTTTTCAATTAATTTTTTTTTCAAATAAATTCAAAAAATGAGTTTACATTAGTTTGTAAATAATTTTTTTTTTCAAATAAAATTAATTGAAAAAAAATTTTCTTAGTAAAATTTTTAAATTTTTGTTTAAAAACCAATATAAACTCATTTTTTGAATTTATATTTTTTCCTCAAATTTACAAATTGAGAAAACCATTTATAAACCAAAAAAATTATCAAACAAGTTTTTATGATAGTTTTTTATTTTTTTATAAATATAAATTGAAAACTGAAAACAAAATGGTTACCAAACATGCCTCAGATGGTAAAAATGTCGTAAAATTAACAAATAATTAAATAAGTTACTAACATAAGAAATTACTTATCAAAAGATTTTTAGGCTATGTATGGTTTGATTTTTAGAATTTTTTTTTAAAATTAAAAATTAATTTGGTTAAGAAATAAAAAATAAAAAATAAATATCATTTAAACGTAAAAAATAATTATCATTTTAACTTTTGGGCAGGTTATATAGATACGTATGGCTGTTTCAATTTAATTCGTAAAAAATTATTTCTAACCACTTGAAAGATAAAAATTATATAAAAATGATTTATATTTACAAAAATTATAAAAATTATATAGTTGATTATTATTTGCTATTATAAATTATTATTATACATATTTAATATTGGTCCCAAATTTATAAAATAAATTTATATATATTAAAAAGATGTGAGTTGTGGTGGTGTGTGTGACAACAGAGGGAGAGAGGAGAGAGAGAGAGAGTAGAGAGAGGAGAGAGAGAGAGAGAGAGAGAGAGAGAGAGAGAGAGTGTATGTGTGTGTGTGTAAGAATGAAGAGTGAGTGCAGCGTTTTGTGTTTTATTAAAAACGTATTTTTAGAACACGTTTTTACATTTTACTTGAAAGCGCGGTTCCTAATTATGTTTTCTGAAGAAAAAAAAAATTATTTAAAAGTGTGGTTTGTAACCATATTTTTTTAATTAAAAGCGCAGTTTGTAACCACGCTTTTACGATTTTACAAATTTTTTACGGGAGGACCACAAAAACGGTAAAAACGTGGTTTGTAACCACGTTTTAGCTTATTTTAGAAATTCCGTCCGAACTAAGCCTAGTTTGAAAAATAACTTGATATTTTGACTTATTTTGAGAAAATCCCCAAATTGATACATAACTATTCCGTACAGATTCTTATCAATAAAAATTTCTTTAGAATTTCAATTATCTAGTCCTTTTATGTACTGCATTAGCGTCGCAAGCTTTGGAAATAATTGTAGAGATGTGATCTTTTGTACGATCGCTTTGGGATGAAATTAGGACCAATACTATTAAAATTATGGAATCAATTTCGAACCAAATTAATTAAACACAATTTGGTTTGGTTTGGTTTGGTTTGGAATCACGGTTTCAGATAATCTTTTCACAAGAAAAATTATAAAACATTTTAAAAAAATTCAAACTATCATAAATTTTAAAAATAATTATGTACGGGGGCGAAATATCCTCTGCTTTCCGTACTCCTTGTGCTCCAAGCTTCTCTTGACGGCGTCTACCTGGCAACATAGAAACGGTGAGCTGCCCGGCGGTGGTGTGCCGGATAGACCCTCCGACGATCAAGTCAGTCCACTTGAGGAAAGAGAAGACAGATAGAGAGAGAGTATTTTCTTTTGGGGGAGAAGTTGCATACCTCTAACGTTCGTCTTCCACCATACTTCTAGACTGGCCATGCAGCCTCAAGATTGCGCGCGCACTACCTCTGCTGTCCTTCCCTGGACAGGTGGCAGTGCTCGCCTCCCACCACCTTACGCGTGTAAAGGCTTAGTCCTTCCACTAGTACACGCAGAATTGTCCAACGGTATTGAGGCGTGCGTGGAGCAGATGTCCTCTCCCTCGCGCCATTGGCCCAGGTGGCACACCTGGCCGGAGTACCACGACCGGCCTATCTTTTGCGAAGAACTGTCACCACAGGCACTCAACTGAGCTATGCCCCACCGGACTGGCCCTCGGCAAAGGGGCAGAGGGGTGATGCTCATGGGCCGGGCTGGTATTGACCGGTTTATCGTGGCATACCGGCCTCCGTCCGTTCTACCTTCATCCGAGGTTATCTGGAATCTGCCCATCTCGGTTAACCGGTCAGAGACGTGCCATCCCTCACTTGTCCATAGTTTAGCCCGAGCTACTCGCAGCCTGGTTTCGCTACTTGGCTGTGTGCCCTGCCAAATGTTTGCTAGTCGCAGCTCGGCCAGGCTTAGTTCACGCCCGGTCAGCCGATCTTTTCGACCGAGCAAAACAGACCCACCGGCCGTCTCAGTAGAGGAAATAGCACGGCGCCGTGAGGTCTGTCACGACCCGCCCTATCTTAGCTCGGCCGTACTAACGGCGCAAATCTCCCATCTCAATTGCCCCTTAATCCCATCCGAGTCATTGTGATTGGGATTATTTCCGTAACCGAGCCAACGGTTAGTGAATTGCATCATTTCCTGGCCGAGTATGATTGGGGCGATATCTGTCGCCGAGCTATATCATTTGGTCGGTCATTTTCACTGCAGTCTTGTCAAGCATCGTATCACCGTACTGACAGACGCGTTCTCAGTGCCACGTGGCTTCACGCCATTGGGTCGTGCAGCCAGCTGTTCTGCACGCACATAATTCAAACGGCGCAGCCGTTTGGGTTTTCCCCCCCTTTTTATGCACAAACGAAGGGTCAATTCGACTCTTACTGTTCATCTCTCCTTTGAGCCTAAACCCTAACCTCATAAACTCCATTTCCTTCACTACCGTCGCTGCTGCCTCTCATTTCACTCACCGTTTCTGTTACTCTTGAAGCTGAGTTCAAGCTCGCGGGGACTGCTTCACTTCGCATCCGTTCTTGGTGAGTTTTTTACCCCTTTACTACTTTTTCCTATAGGCTTTTCAATTTTTTGTGCTTTCGTTCTTTATTTTCTTTGCTTGGAACCTTCCAATATCTCCTTGATGGGGGGTCTTGGCACATCATAGGGTAAACTGTAACTGGATGGGTATATGGGGCCATCGTGCCCTCGATTCTCCTTGGTTCGAACAAACGAACCTTGAATTGAGGATGAACAAGATGAACAGGATGAACACTGTGCACGACCGAGCTAAACGCTCATTTAGATCTGTAATTATGCCTTCAACCGATCAAAAATGGTTTGTGGCTTATTGCTGAGGTCTCAACCGAGTTAGACACTTAGTTAGATCGGTATGTAGGAACTCGCCGAGCTAAAACTTGAGATCTCCACTTCAAACCTTAACCGAGCTGTAACTTCTTTGAATCTCCTTTCTGGACCTTACCCAAGCCAGAAGTGGAGAGTTAGAACCG